GTCGCCGCCGACGCCACCACCACCGGCACCACGGTGCCCACCGTCACCCCTCTCGCTGCCCACAGTAGGTTTACGTTTCTGACAGTGGCCCGAGCGAGCGGTGACAGCCGAGGAGGCAGTTGCGAGTGCGCCGTCGTGCCGTGCGTATCGTGCCTGCGTGTCGTTGCTCGTCGATCCACATACCGCGTGGTCGGCCAACTGTCAAACCTGACCACTTATCGGTCAGTTCTGAATCCGACTATCGACGATAATCTCGCGTTCCCGTCAAGTGTTCCCTGCATTCGCATGCGATTTATTTCAAAACGTCTTTTAAAACGTTGTCCATCTGCGTGTGCTTCGATGAAGTAAAATGTGCATTGTTTCCGGAGCGCCGAGGATATCGTATCGCGTACTTCACACCGCGATCGGCGCGTACACGTAAAACAAGTTCGAAAAGGGGATTTAACCTGTCGAAAAATGACCGAGCTGGCGAAGGAAGCTTTTGCCTCGCGCAATTACCGTCTCGCTGTAGAGATGTACGAACGCAACCTAAAACAGCAAACCCCGACGTTCGAGGTGCTCGTCGGATACGGGGATTCTTTGGCGAAGTGCGGTCGCATCAGGGAATCCATCGGTGTTTACGCGAGGTGTTTGGCCGTGGGCTCCATTCCGCCCGAGAGGCTGAAACACCTGGCCAACGCTCTTCTGGACGAGCTGTCCGGAGCCGCGAACACCGGTAGCTCCAGAAGGAAGATCGAAACGTCGTTCGCGTGCCCTTTCTGCGAGGGCACCCTGTGCCAACCGGTGACCACCAACTGCGGCCACATTTACTGCAAGAATTGCGTGGAACCGGGCAAGAACTGTCGCGTGTGCGGGCAAAAAATCGGCAGCGTGGGTGAGACGAACGTGCTCGTGCAGAGACTCGTGGAAAAGTGGTGGCCACGCGAGGCGGAAGCCAGCAGAGCCAGACACGAGGGTGATATCCTGATGAAGGAGGGACACCTGGCTCAAGCTCTGGAGAGGTACAATCTCGCCGTTCATCTTGGTGAGTTTCTACAATTTTCATGAAACGGTTTCACGTGGATCGAGAATCGAATTAAGGTTCAGGCGAAGATTGCCTCGCGACGTGTGTTAAATTTTGATGTCGGTTTCGTTGTGAGGGTGTGAGAGCAGGATCGTACCTTTTGTCCTTTTGTTCGCCTATTTATGCAACGACGTTTCAAATCGTTCGTTTCACGCGCAGAAAAGTTTATTCGAGCTACTAAATTCTCACCAGGGATTACAAAGTGGTTACATAAAGATCATTACGAAACAGCGAATCCGGATAACGTTACGAACCGCAGAAGATTGAATTAATTTGCACGTACCAATTTCGAAGATAACGAGGCCTGGAAATACGGACGATTAGGTTTCGATGATTTTCGAAAGATCGAGCTCGATAGGAGGAATCGGCTGTCAATGAACCGAAGTAGTCGCGTGATCTTTCAGACGCTCTCAGCGTAAATAAGCTGTGCATTTCATGAATGATATTCTGTTCGAACGCGAGTATTTACTACGCGTTCAATCTACGAACGATGTCGTTCGCGTTATCTGTCGGTCAGAGTGACTTTTTTACGACAGAAAACGCGTTTCACGGTTTTATAAACAACGCTGTAAATCATATGCAACTTGGTCCTCGTCTCGTGAAGAAAAAGCATCCCGCGATTTTTCTTTGTCCCGATTCAATTTTTGACGCATAAATCATTTTCTTTTTTTAAATTTCAACGCAAGTTTCGGAGAACTTACGACAGATTCAAGAAATTGAGCTGATGAACTTGTTCAGGGTTATTTTTTAATTTTGGAGATTTGTTTTTATGCTGAAATTATGATGATGAAGAAAACAGTAAACAAATGTTTGTGTAAAGTTACTTATGTTATATATTTATATAGGGAAAAGTGACATAATATTGTGAATTTGTTGTATTTTCAAACTGAACAGTTGCGATTATATAAAATTATAAAAAAGGAATGCAATTACGTGAAAGGAATGGTTTCGATAATTTTACTGATTATGAAATATGCAGTTCATTTCTATTCGAACTATAAAAAATTTGTTATGTATTAGTTACAGTTTGTTTCTAATGCTGTGCAACAAGGTATTAATATTTTTACAAATTCTATTATTTGTATAAATTTTTGTTTTACAAGTCTTGTTAATAAATTTTAATAGGTCAGATTAAAATGATTGTATAACATATATTAAATGTATTAAACATTCTGCTTGAAAAAACTTGTGAACAAAATCAACAAAACAAAATGGCAGTATATTTATTAGAGTATTAAAAATGCAAACGAATTTATTAGTTTTTTATTGATGTTCATATGTTCTTTATTTTGTGTTATTTAATAGGAGTGTATTAATGTTGCACTGTTTTAATTTAATGGCCATATCAAATTTAGGATGATTATATAATATTTTAACGATGTCATCTGTAATTTTTAATCGCGGATGACATCATTTCTAAATCGATCAAAATGTATATAAAATTTGTTAGGTTTCAATCAGTTACATCAATTTATTACATTAAATTGCATTGAGCTAAAGGAATTTCAATTTAATTAAAAAATAAAGTGTAATTTTTTTCTTACTCAAAAACAACTTTGATACTGATTAAAAAAATAAGAAAATTAAAGGACAAATTTATGAAAGTATGCAATCTTCATTAATATAAATAAATTCTGTATTGACATGATTCATCAGTAAAATATTCCAGGCGTTCCTTTCGTGTCACCTCTTCTTAAAACTTGATTCTACCTCCCAAGATATGTGCTTCTGAAGTCAAGAAATAAAATCTTCATTAACAATAATATTTTCATTTTGAAATTCTATATTTTCAATACAGAGTAATTTCACATATAGCAACATAATTTTACATATATTTCACATAAGTAACATAAAAAAAAATTGAGTCTAAAAATATGTACGATAAAAAAATTGATAAACACTAGTACTTGTTCCAAATTTTAATTCAAAATGTGTTGCAAACCTTAATGTGTTTTACAGTACATTAAAAATATATCAATACATTTCATAAGCTTCAATATAACAAAATTTTAAATGGTCGCACAACGCAAATTAGAGTAAAAATAAGAAAGAATAGGAAATTATAAATCTTATGGTGTACTATGGTATAGTTCATAATAGCGTTCCCCGTAAGAAGAAGATTCCCGTTTCTATATCCACCATAGGTGGATTTTAATCGCTCCGGTTTGAGCTCTGGTTGATGACCCCGTTGCAGCCGCAGCATAAACTCCTTTGTTCACTTTCCTAAACGTCGAAACGTCCGTTGGATATGTTTCTATTTTTTAATCCATGACGCTATCGCCATGATTACATCTCCATTTTATGACTATCGTCTCCTCGTAAACACAGCTTGATCCGAGAAATTTTATCGTTAATAAGCGCATAAATTCCATTGTGAAATACTCGGTTCTGTTCCATTGCACATTGCCGAAAATACTTTTCACCATTTATTATTACGAATAAGAGTAAATAAACTACATACTATGTAACTCCAGATTATACGGGCTATGCAGGGTGGTTTGAAGGTGACGGAGATTTGAAACTTGTATTTTCGATATAAATAGAAAAATGGAGGAATTAGTGTAGAGTTAATGTGAAGGTGAACGAAAAATAGGTGTAATTCTTAAAATTTCCTAGTTCCAAATTTTTCAATTCAAAATTTTCTAAATTCCAAATTTTCCAATTTCCAAAATTTACAATTTCAAGTTTCCCAATTTCTAAATTTTCCAATTCCCAAATTTCCCAATTCCAAGTTTCTCAATTCCCACGTTTCCCAATTACCACGTTTCCCAATTACCACGTTTCCCAATTCCTACATTTCCCAATTCCCACATTTCCCAATAACCACATTTCCCAATTTCCACATTTCCCAATTCCCACATTTCCCAATTCCTACATTTCCCAATTCTCACATTTCCCAATTCCCACGTTTCCCAATTCCCACGTTTCTCAATTCCCACGTTTCCCAATTACCACGTTTCCCAATTACCACGTTTCCCAATTCCCAAATTTCCCAATTCTAAATTTTCCAATTTCTAAATTGCCCAATTCCCAAATTTTCCAATTCCCAAATTTCTCAATTCAAAATTTCCCAATTCCCAATTATCCCAATTAGCAAATTTCCCAATTCCATATGTTCCAATTCCAAATTCCCGAATTCCCAAATTTTGCACTTCCAAGTTCCCAAATCCCAAATCCCAAATCCCAAATTCACAATTTCCCCAAATTTCCAAGTCTATAACTCCTCATATGCGCAAAACTCCACATCTACAAATCCCCAAACCCCTAAATCTCCAAGCTGTCCCCAAAATTACATATCTAACTCCAAAATCCTCAAATTCCTACACTCCCACCTCTACAAACTGAAAACCTTGAAAACCTCCATCCAAGCAAAAAATTCTAGAAACCAAAATTGAACAATTCAACACCTCCACATATTAGTCAATCCCGCACGCCATTTAACCCAAATCCCCAAACCCCCAAATCTGCAATCTGTCCCCAAAATTACATATCTAACTCCAAAATCCTCAAATTCCTATACTCCCACTTCTTCAAACTGTAAACCTCGCAAACCTCCATCCCAGCTGAAAATTCTAGAAATCAAAATTGAACAATTCAAAGCCTCCCCATATAAGTTAATCCCCTAAGTCATTTTCCTACTGTAAAACAAGTTATTCGTGTACACGAAATTGTCTGCAGTTTCTTGCCTGTCAAACAATGCAACGTCGGTTCCGCTTGTCGGGTATGGCACGTGTCGTTTCGGTTTCACGCGTGTATAAGACGTGTTAAGTTTTCCTAAGCGAAAACACGGTCCGCCAGAATGCGAGGCGGAGGATCTTTGTGTTCGCGGTACATGCAACAACGTGTCCCACCGAATGGCCCGACGTTAGGAATAATCTGGTCTCTCGGCACTCCCGTCTCTCCCTTTCTCTCCTTTTTCCTTCGACCTGTCTCTCTCTCCCTCTTTCTTGGAGAACGTTATATAAGAACAGCCTCAGACTGGCCGTGAACTTAGCGACGTCGTCGTCTTCGCGTTCGAACGTAGCCGCCTCCCTTTCCACGCGAGAGCCCGTTCGCTGCACTCGGCATGCAACAACGAAGAGGGAGAAGGAATGCGATCGATTCAGTTATTCTTTCTACTGGGATCGAGAGAATTTACCTGCTGGCTACAGACTCGCTTTATGCCTCGTGAGTAGCCGGTTAGAGTCCCCTTCGAATCTTTGTGACGAGAAAATCGCGTTTGGCGAACTCTTGGTGTGCATGACCTGCCGACGTGAATTCCAATCAAATTTTATACGATTACGTAGATGAGCAGAAGTAGTGGCTTTGGAAAATTATGGTAGGCAATTTTGGGAAATTGAAATATTTGGGAAAGAATTTTATTGAGGTGATTTTATGGTACGGAGCTTCTACTTCAAATTAGTAGTTAGGTGGCATGGATTTGAATCGAATTTTATACGATTACATAGATGAGCAGAAGTAGTGGCTTTGGAAAATTGTGGTAGGCAATTTTGGGAAAGAATTTTATTGATGTGATTTTATGGTATGGAGCTTCTACTTCAAATTAATAGTTAGGTGGCATGGATTCAAATCAAATTTTACACGATTGCATAGATGAGCAGAAGTAGTGGCTTTGGAAAATTGTAGTAGGCAATTTTGGGAAATTGAAATATTTGGGAAAGAATTTTATTGAGGTGATTTTATGGTACGGAGCTTCTACTTCAAATTAGTAGTTAGGTGGCATGGATTTGAATCAAATTTCATATGATTAGATAGCTGAGCAGAAGTAGTAGCTTTGGAAAATTAAGGTTTGCAATCTTGGGAAATATAGGAAATATTTGGGAAAGAATTTTGTTAGGCGATCTTGTGGTACATTCAATCTTCTATGAATCAAATTTTACGCGAGTGTAAAATTATCTAAAGTTAGGTTGAAGTAGATGTTTGTTAGGGTTAAGAATAAAAGATGCAATTACAATCGTGTT